TCGAATATTTTTTTTTTTTAACCCACGTGAGTTTGTACTGCCTCCCTGCTGGATATTCCGCAAGTTTGTACCTCCTCTCCAACCCTCGTCTAACCCCCCACCACTAACCTGCTATATATTTAAAAAATGTGCGAATGTGAAGTCATGAGGGATGAAAATTTTTTTGGACATATTTTTTAGGGGTTTTTCGTTTCTTCGTGATTTATTTAGAGTGCATTTTGGTTTTTTGAATTGGTTTTGTTTTTGGGGTGATTTTGATATCAGGGGGAGGAGAGGGGCTTATCAAAGTAGGTGGAAAGGGAGTAACAATTGTAGCGAGTGTATGTTAACCCGTCTGATCGTACTCCAGCAGCAATAAGTAAATGTAATCTATGACTCGTTTCCGGACACCTTTTCATTCCTTATCTCCAACGTCGAGTGAATACACAATTTTATTAAAGTTGAGGCCCTATGTACATGGGTTTTATTCTCAATTTGATAAGAAATTGTGTTGCCGATGAGAATTCAGTGTAGGATGGGGGGAATAGATAAATCTTAATTTTCATTGTTCAAACATTATTCAGGGTGCGAGTGAAAATTCCAGAGGGGATTAATTTATTTTCATTATTTACTCAACCACTTCTTACAACTTTATCCAAACAAATACTTTACAAAGTGCAAAAAAAAAAAACAACAACAAAAATTGCGAATTTTCCCTGGAGCCCAGTAATTTTGCCTTCTCAATCTTCAGATGCGCTCGTTACCATATCACACGCGCCGTCGTGGCATACCTCCCCCCAAAGGGGTTGCAAAATCCCCTCCTGCCCCTTCCCCTTTGCCCCGTTGAAAAACCAATAACAATTTATCCTGATGTCGTCGAAAACCCGTATACCTCACACTCCTTCCGTTTCGCTTTCAAACGCACACCATGAGAGCCCCTTCGGTAACAACCAGAAAGGGCAGAATGACGTGGAGAAGGGGGTGAAAGGGGGGCTTTTTAGGATGGGGGGGGGGAGGTATAGCCTTTACCTGCACGCCTCATGTATTATAATACCATATAATATAAGAACTCGTATGTGCCAGCCCACCTAACCACTCTCAGACCCGTTCATTTGTCCCTCCAATAGCCGGACAGCTCAAAGCAAACGCGCAACCTCCAACGCCATTTCTACCTCTTAACCGCACACATATACATATTATTCATACTAAACTCCCCCCTGGGTATGGAAATCCCCCTTTGGTCCCCCTGTCCCTCTTCACCCTTTGCCCCCCGTTGGAATGTTCTCAAATTACGGGAATATCTGTCAGACGTAATCGCTCCAGTTTTTGAACGTAACGTGTTATTAATATTTCGGGACATTTTAATTTTCGAGGGATGATGGATAGTCGGGGGGGGAGTGAGAGAGGGTAATGTGGGGGTGGAATTTTGAGGATTTTTGGAATTAAAGGCCTTCGGTTCCGGGATAAAGTGCCAATCAACGGGAATACCTCATTCCTCGGCCGAGAATTGAGAGAAGAAAATTGCGTGGACGTAGATTCTTTTATTCTTCTCGTGGTTTCATTTGCTTTAGATGTCATATATAAAAATATAAGAGGGATATTCTCGTTTGACATCGGAATGTCGCAGGGTGCTCCCCCCCCGAAAATAAAAAGGACTCAGGGAATTGACAGGATGTCGTGGTCTCCTAAACACTGGGTTTTGATTCAGGGAGAAACTACACCCGTATATGTGACATTTGTTAAACGAAAAAAAAAAGATGGGGGGGTACTAGTGTTTACACACGGCTTTTCGGAAGACTGCACCACGAGACACGAGTACCAATAGTTCTGTGTAGAGCAGTTGAACCTGATATTGAGGGGACATCGGGGATGTATACCTCATATTATCCCATAGTCTGTCCATTATTAGCTGCTTTCATTTTTTTTTCCCCCAATCCCCCGCCCCTTTTTTTTTTGTCATTTTAAAATGTAATACGTTTGTACCCCCGGGGGGAGCCGACAGGGACACTCAGCAATGTTTCCCATTCGAATTTTTCGTTGCGGAAAAATTTGTCCCACTGTCGTCAACCGAAACGACTTAAATGGATTTTTTTAATGGGTATTGAGTCTTTCAGGTATAGAAAATATTAGTTTCACTGGTCCATCGGCATAATGGGGAAACATTTGTCCAGATATGAAATTGTTGACATAATTTCATTTTTTAATATCAATTATTTGCACTCGTTTCACTTTTCTTCTTTATTGAAGAGCTCAGTTTTTTTCGCGAATAATGAAGAAGTAGTTTTTGGGAAGGATAATGAAGAGAAATGGTTTAATTAGTTCAAAGGTTGTGGATTAAATCCTCTATTATGATTTTCTCTCATTGTTAAATATTCTTGTTGCGGCTGTATCCACGGTGGAGGATTACAAGCTGCTTGACAATACCGGGGGGTACAATACCCAAGCTCCACAAACTCCCTCGAAAAATCATAGCCGTGGTTTTTGAGAGTGACGACATCTTTTTCAGTCGAGGTTTTGCCCTCACCGAAAATTGTCGTCATCCGGAACAAGTACCGTGTACGTAGGAAAGAAGATCTTTTTGTCGTTTGCCGCTGGCATATCAAATTTTATCCCTGTCATCCCAAGAATGAGACTAAGAATTTTATGTATTTATATTTCAACGGCCTCTCGTTTTATTCAACTCCATTTATTCATTATCCGAGGAAAAAACAATTAAAAAATACTGGCCAATTCAAATGATATTTCTCAAACGCCATAATGGACTTATTTCTCCAGTTAAAAAAAGGAGTAATTAAGATGGTCTAAATTCTCGAAAACGTAATTTCCTGATTATTAACAAATACCTTCTACGTAATTGAAAAAACGTGATTTACTAAATATGGAATATCTCCAGCTTCAACGAAGTAAATTAAACGAGTCCGGGCTCATTCTAAAGACCGATAAAATGCCTTCAAAATGGTAGTAAGTTATCGAAATTTCACTCCGCCAATTGCGATATATGGACATCTGAAGGAAAAAATGATGGCTTTAAATTTCCCTGAGTTGTTGAAGCGGTTTAATTCACACATGAAGGGAATTTTGACACCATGTGTAGTACGTCGTTGAGAATAGGATTAGGCCTATATCCGTCAAAATATACCGTGTAGAAGCGAATGCGAGAGAGAGTTGAAGAGGAAAAACGAGGCAAAAGGGTTTGGTACCGTTTAAATTGGCCGAGTTGAAGCGTCGACGTGCGTTTAAATGCTCGTCCATGCGACGACACATCAAAAGAGAATTTGCTCTGTGTAGGAGGTTGGAGGGTTAAGGCTCTCATATTATTTGACAGGCGCGAAAGGGTTATCAGGGTGACACTGTGACAGTTGAACTGTGTTTATGCGGACTGCGGTGGGAGGGGTTGGGTGGGATTGTATTTGCTTAATAACCAGGGGCTTCTGATGTAACTTAATTCTACCCCCAGGGCTTATTACAGTCATTTCAATGGATTCGCGTTGGACACTCATTAGAATTATCCTTTGTCTCATTTTTTAAAACCAAAACCGCAATTTTTTTTTTTTAGTTCATTTTCATCATTTTTTCATCGCGAAAGGGGATTTTTTTTCGGGGGGTAGTTTGTGGGACTTTTTTGACCGGAAATTTTCTCAGTTATCGGATGACACCATTTTTCCTCCCCTTTCCTCTCCGACCCCCTAGCCGCTGGTGAGATACCGCGCAGGTGAATAATTAGGGTTATCTGTTAATTTGAATTCATTAAGAATGAATATATATATATTTTTTTTTTTGGAGGAGAAATAACACATGAGGGTATTGGTATGTGGAAAACGGTTACATTCCGGACATTGAAAATATCTTAATCTGGCGGTATGCCAATTGGGCTCGTCCGCGTGTCCTTCAGGTCTTGGGGATTATATATAGAGTATTGTTTTCTCTTATTAATCATTTTGGGATTAGAATTGTTTTTTATTTTGCGATTTTTGACTGCAACGAAACGGTTTTGGGAACGTTTTTAGGGATTTTTTAAAAACTTAAATAATGATGGTATGTGTTAACGATTAATTAGTGGTGATACCATCGATTATTTTCAAAAGCGGTGCATTTCAATTCCCATTGAGTTGAATTAGGATATTTGTTGGTTATTGAGAGAAATCGACTCAGCAACACTCAAATATAATCGCTGTAATAGTTTTGACCATCCATGAGTATTAGATCGGTAACTTCCGACGACACACTTGACTTTTGCTGGGTTATCGACCGTGAAACGAGACACCTGCTCTCCAAGGCGGGTCTCTTTTCTTCTGGTGGAGTGCGAATAGAGTAAGGACAAGAGACAGTGCTTCTAGACACTGGATATATCTCTCGATTCCAGTGAGAGACCGGTAACGTTCACCACTCAAGTTCTCGTTATGTCTTTTTTTTTCCCCCCGGACACTACACGCGGTAGATTCATATCAATCCAGAATTGTGGAGTTGAAGATGCATTTTACCTTCAAACTGATTCACAAATCAATTTTTTCACTCGGTAAAAGTTGTCGCAGCGGGGGAAATGAAGTTGAAAATTTTTATTATGGGCCTGAGCCGCGTCGGGGCCGGATGTCTCGACTTGTCGTCGCATGAACATGAAAATCCTTTTTATTAAATGCTTCAGGTGTTTGTTTCAGATGTAAAAAGACGGGTTTATGTTGGAAAAGTGTATTTTACGTGGCGGTTGAGAAAGTTTTGGCTTATGACTAATATATTCGGGGGAATATTTCCGACATTTGTTATCCTAAATTAAAAAAATGAGAAACTCTAATGACAACGAGTTCACACGGAATTTATCTGTGAATTATTCAAATAGAAAAAAAATAAACAGAGGGGAAGTAAAATGGTGGGATATTTATCGCCGGAGAAGTGTACGCAAAATGATATTTGATCCATTTATAGCTGGTGCATTTATTTCCGTGGAAATCAATCACCTGACACACCGACAGCAAAAATATTCAGGACGTGGAGTTTGAACGGGTGGTTTTTTGTTATGTTTGCAGACTGCGGGGATACCCCGAAAAGCAAGTTGGTGAAGGGCTTGAGAGTCAACCGCTAATTGGCCAAAGACGAGTTCACGTATATGACGTGGAGGGATTACATGTACGAGTTTTGAGGGCCAAGAGAGATAGACGGAGTGAGCTTTGTAGGACACAGCGCGTGTGAGTAATTTGTTGCCAATTTCACCGTTGATACTTTTGCCCCGCGGTTTTTCATATTGATGAGATGGAGTCAAACTCCTCAGGTTGAATGGAATTTTGGGCATGTGGGGGCCATTCCGGGCCGTATGAATGAAAAAAAATTTTTTCCACCGTATTTTCTCCTTTTCGCATTCGTTTCCCGCTTTTCACCCGAAAATTGTCAACAGTTGACAATTTCCTCTAGTAATTAAAATTCCATGAGAAACTGTCAGGACTTTTTTTTTTCGCGAAAAATCCACCAACAATCAATTTGTATCGCGGTGTCTCATTAATTCTCTAAATATCACCACAAAAAATCTATTTGACATCTCTTCCGTCATTATGTCACTTCCACCCCGTCATCCACATTTTTTAGCAACTCGGGGAAATGAAAAAAATTGACAAGAAACAGTCGATGCAGTTTGCCGACGCGAAATGTGCAGTTTTCTTTGGGGTATAACAAACACAATCCCCCTCCCCTCTGGGGGTTTCGCGGGGTGGGGAAAGGGGGAAGGGGGGCGGGGGGGCACAGCAAAACCTGTGCGAGCCGTGCAAATTCCTTCGGAGAAGAGCCAAGGTCGCCAATTATCATTGGTGCATGATGGGCGCGCAAAGGCGGTCTTCGCACACACAAAATGCCCCCATATGACAGCCCATATTGTACAAAATCCCCTCCTCACCCCATTCCGCGGTATCAATTTTTTTTCCAATTAAAATAATCAGCCAGTCGTTGATTATTTTTTTTCTTCTTTCTTTTATTAGTCTTGATTTTATTTATTTGTGTGAACTCCCACGGTGGAGAATGAGACCGAATCCTCGCAACTCGTCGGCTCACTGATTTCCTACCAGAATTTTAATTATTAGAGGCAAAAGAAAACGTGAAAAAGTTTTTTCGAGGTCGATGATCCTGCTCTCGTTTCCGCGCACCGACGGCTTTGGAGGGGGGGAGTTTATTGTTTATGGGTGGAGATATTTGCGGTTTTTTTTTTTCAATTTAATTGATTTTTTTAAGGAGAGAAATTGGAGTTTTAGGGAATGATCGGTGAAAATTAGTTGCAAAGATTGGAATAATTGAATTGTCACTCGATGATTTGTTGATATTTTTTAAATTAGATTGTTGGTAAAATTTTTCATTTTCGAAGGTAGAATTTGAGTTTTCTAGTAGAGAACTAGTTCTTTATTTTTTCATTTCGAAAGTTCTAATTAAGATAAGAGAGGTTGACTCTCTGTTGAATCCCGTGACACTGAAGAAAATGGTGGAACTGTAATTTATGGTGATGAAAATTTATCGAACACCCGGCCCTAAATTTATTTTGTCATTCCAAATAATATATCAAGTTTTTTATAGATTTGATCGTTGAAATACCTCGCGCACGATCCCAAGGGAATTTTCCATTGAAAGTGTCTTTCAGTTGCATTTTGCGGGAATTTCAATAATTCGATTTCAAAATTTCGCGGGAGAAAATGCGATTATCGAGAGAACGATCAGTGAACGGATTTTTTCATCTCAAATTTTCGATTAAAATCACTTCCACAAAACTCCATCGGCTACTTTATCTGAAAAAATGATAAAAAACCATCTCGAATGCTAATATTATCCCTTGAATTTTAAACAATATTCATTGAGTTTATAATAGATCCGACCATTGACCCAAAATACCGTGGATTTTTCTTGAATTTATGACAACTCGAACTTCATAAACTTTATAGTAGATTTTTCCGTTAAAAACTGTCATTTAAATGCACTTGGTTCACCCACGCGTCTCGAAATATCCAAAAATAAATTGAAAAAAAAAAAATGAGAGATCCGTTGAAAAAAAAAGAACTACCTAACCGAGAAACCGGTAATCCAAGGACCATTGCTGTTTATTTTTCAATAAATTTAATGTCACAAACTTCTTCACGTCATTAGAATAACAAGACCAAACACAAAGTGCATGGAGTGAATTAAATTAATTCTGGAATGCATTTTTTTATATTCCCGGCTCCTCTCTCGGCATTCGTTCCTCATTTCTCTTGTCTCCTCTTTTTTTTTATAAATAAACCACTGCACCTATGACACTAAACTGTGTCCATACAGTTGTAATTCCGTCCACAGACTTTTTTTGATTGCACGTCACGACTCGATTCCGTGACAGCGCACCAGAACCCGCTATCCTCATAATTTTTCCCATCCACCAATTGATTTTATACACATGTTTCACTTGTATATCACTAATCATCATTCATTTCACACGATAAAAAAAAAATATATTTATGAGTCAAGCGGTCGAATCGAAACTTTCCCATTCAGTAAATATTGATGAATGCCGAGGGAACGAACAAAATAGAAATCTCTATGTATCAGAGAGTGAAAATCAAGATGTGATAACGGAAATTCCCGATTCTCGGTGCCCATTTTGCCCAGATGGATCTAAAAAAACGTGATAAATAGTGAATTATTTATAAAATTCAATGTTCATTTTGTGCTTTCAAAAATATTTCGAGAAATAACTAAAAATCATTTGGCTTTCTAACAGAATTATTAAAAAAATAATTTTATCGTGGAATTCATTAACACTCGTCCCAAAATTTCCTGGAAACAAAGAAAAATTCTTTGAATTTTCACGTCCATTAAATTGAAAGATATGTCAGCCTCGGTGTCATAAAAAAATATATATTTCCCCAAAAAGCGTATCCAAAAAAAAAACGTAAAAAATATTTGTGGTGAAGATTTATTTATATCTCTGGGTGTTTTGGGGCCGGCGGATATTCATAGGGGACATCAGATATGAAAATGGTCACTCAAGGAATATTACGAGGTTATAATTCACGTGATGTGTATTAGAAATTCAATTTAATCTTTTTTTCTTCTTCTTGTCTATGAATTTTTCCGTTTTCTTTTATGGCCGTTAGGATGAATAAATAAAATACGGAGTGATGGAGAAAAAGGGAGGGCTTGGGTGGGGGAAACGACTCAATTCGCAATAATTTGGATTAATGATATTCAATCCTAAACGTATTTATTCGGGGATAAAGGATATCTTTTTATCGTCCTGTTCATTAATTCGATCATGTCCGAGTGAGGGAGCCCCTGCGGTTATTATTATTATTATTATTATTATTATTCATCCGGATATTTGTTTGGGGGGATGGCGAGTTTTTTTTCACTAACGATAATTAATAGTTCACGTTGATTTAACTGTCTTCACAAGAAATTGTAATCTAAATTGGCAATCGTTGAGATGTCAAAATACTCTTGACAATTCTACCTGTAAACATTTTTTCAAGTGACAGTTATCATCCAATTTCAATGCAATTGAGCTCACATCGTTGGTTGAAACATTATCTATTGAGTTACTGGACTGCTGTTCCATTATTTTTCGTGTTTTATCTTCACAGTTGTATTGTCACACGACAAAAACAATAAACTTTTGAATAAACAGTGATAATTTTTCATTAGTGAATTTATCCAAATGAATCTTCCGGGAAGTTGATAGAAAATTGTACCAACGAGCTAATTAAGCCCGAGTGCATTGAATTCGTGTGATAAGTGTCACTTGAAAAAATGGTTATAGACGGAATTGACCAGTGATAGTTGACGATGTCAATGATTGACAGTTGATAATGATTCAATCAATTATTTTCAGTCAGGATGCATTCAGCGATGCAATTAGATTATTCGCAAAATAGACACTTTGCACTAGAAAATATTGGAGTATCCATTGAACCGCCTAGAATTAATATCAATCAATTCCCCTCTCCCCCATAAATAAACCCTCGTTTATTGTTACAAATTGCGAATTATCACGTGCCCCGTCAGCAATAACCAACTGAAAATCCCCCCTGAATCATCAATAAATTCGATATTGAATTTGTTGGGAGTTTATTGCCGCCGGATAACGCACTCAACGATCCTGAAATGCCTCCGCCGATGGTCAATAATCCCACCAGATAAAGATACCTGTCTCGATACAGTCTATCGTGCCCCCGGCTTTAAGTGGAATAAAGCGATAACTTTTTGATTATTTGTCTCTGAAAATTTAAAAATAATTTCACCCAATGAAAGCTCGTTTATCTCATTCCCGCAATCGGGGAATTCGCGACAAATTGCTCGGTATATATTTACCCCGAGAGAATCTTTGACTACTGTTGCCAGTATTTATTAATGATTTTCGGGACTATTAGGGCCTTAGGTATCCCAAACCGAAATTCCACATCCCAAAAATTCAATTCCTCTCCCTCAAGAACGCGGAGAAAAAAAATAATTCTCGATGAGAACAAATTAACTTTCATCCGTGATTTTCAAAATGTATTCATCAATTTTTGATCCGATGGATTAATTTATTTTTTCAATTAAGAGAATACAACGGATGACTGAAAATGAAGTTTTAATGTTGGTCTTAATTTCTTTCCATTTTCGGTAGATATTTCCAACGAAAATTGAAACTTACGCGTTGTGCTCTCCTCATTACACTCCAGTGGATTATTTCTCCCTCCACCCTCCTCCTCAAGAGTGGCACGGCTAGGTCGTGCCTGTTTTCTCCTCGACATCCCTCCAAAAAGTCTCTGAATGTCCCCCAATGCGATTGAAAATCCCAAACCCCAAATAGAAGAATGGAAAAATTTGAAAAATCACCTCCGTCGGGCCGATGCGACCCACCCCCCACCCCCTGGACACAGGGGGGGTTGATAAAAAAAAAAACCCCCTTCCAATCGTTATCTAAAAATAGTATTTTCTCGGATCCACTCTTCCCATTGTCACTCGTTATTTCCAATGTCTCCGGGGAGGGAAATAATAGAAAAAAATTTCGCTGTTATCACTACGGCCTTGACACAATATCACTGTCACGAAGGTGCAACACCACCCCCCGATAAATCCACTCCCTCAATTCCATGCGTGATGAATCGGTAAATAATCCACGTGACAATTCAACAAACTCCATAAATTATCGATTATATCGGTTTATCAGTTCTCACTTGGCATCTTGTCACGTGTCAACGTGAAAATTAATTTATCTATTTAATCACTAATTTCAATTGATTAGCATGGATTTGTGCATTCACTTATCGATGATTTTAGGATGTTTTTCATTTATTTGCAATCACAATCTAGTGTTTCACGCGCACTCTCGCTGATTTTAGCACATCACATGGTTATTTTATGATTTTATTCATCAAATCAACTGCACGACGATTTATTCATAGAGCACGGATTTATTTACGACGTATTTGATATTTTATCGATGGGTGTGCACTTTTTAATTTTTTTTTTTCCTGGGAGTTGTTCGGAATTTAGATTGTTGATTATTGTTATGAATTATTATCGTAATGAGGATTATAATGCGCGGTATTGTGATATGGGGTAAAGCCCCTGGAGTCGGCCGGACGACGGACGGACCAGCTCTGGGGGCCCGTCGTCGCGACGCCCCTCTCCATCCTCGTATCCGAGTAAATGTCCGATGGTAGGGCTAACACTCTGCGCGCGCTTTTCGCTTCTACTCCCACCAATTTATACTCATTCGCTCTCTCTGTTTTTTATCAGAGTGAGACATTTTCCCCTACTTTCCTATTTCCCAGGGATCATCAATTTTTTATCATTCAAAAATTCGTTTTTTCCATTCATTTTTTCTTCTAATTTTTATTTCTCACGTGTTTGCAATTCAACATTTTTGTCAGTTTTTCAAAATTGATTTTTTTTTTTGCTATTTTCATTTGTTTATCATTCAAAAATTCGATTTTTATTTCTGTATTGTTTTTTTCAATTTTTATGAATTGAACTGTACAGCAATCTCCTGCTTTTAACAAATTTCTAGAGATTGAAATTTTTATGAAATATGTAGAAATCGTTAATTTTCGGAAAATCATTTTTCAATTTAATAAAAAAAATGGTAAAATTCATCTATTGATTTTGGGGAGAACAATACAGTGTAGATATAGATTTTGGACGGTCATTACTGCAATTATTCTGGTAACATTACCCTCTCCCCGCTTGTTTCTTATATTTTGTTGCCCCTTCTCTGAAAACACACACTTGAACGAACTGTTCCGCGGGGCTGATTTTCGCCCCACTACATTTTCTGCCCCGCTACGAAAACGGAAGGCGTGGCCACCACGATTCTAACCGGCGTCTCTGTCTCCGCCCCTCTTATGCATTATTATTGTACCCGCGAAATAGCGAGTAGTATCGGTTCGTGAGGGTCAGACCCTTCAGACATATTCCCAATTCATTATTCATTCGTCTCAACTATTCCCACCTACCTCTATTCATCAATGACTTTTTTTCAATTAATTACCCCATTATAAATCACCATAATCCCAACAAATAAACAAATCCCATTTATCCATCAATAATCACTTCCCCGCAAATACTCTTCTCCTCCTGTCTCTTAAGAAGAAATTGAGAATTATCTTTTTTTCTATTGATTTGAATTTTTTATTTGGGAAATTACTACAAAATTGGAGTTACTTGTTTCGAGGGATTCAGTGGGAACTTCGGGGATTTTATTGACGTTTTGGGGATTGATCTTGTCGCGTTTATGTGGGTAAATCGAGGGAATGGATGAGGTGTGGATGAACTGACGGCAGTTGATGGTAAAAGGTGAAAAGAAGAGTCTGAGGGCGCGAGCAGGTAAAGAATTTTAAGCGGAAAACGGGTGGTCGGCGCCGGCGCCGCGTCATTTTCCCCCCTGTGTCCCCCCCTTTTACTCCCCCACCGCGGTCGGGCTATTTTTTCACACCTTCGACTATGTCAACCATCGCACGAATACGTTACACTGATCCCAGTCATTCATGAAGTTTCACCAACACGGGAGTAACTTTTTTTACTGGAACTAGAATGAAATGTCCTTTTTTCGCGGAGAAAACCGGTGAAAAAAAACTGGGATACACTTGTCGAACACAATTCGCGTGCGGAGGTGTTAAAGAATAAAAAAAAAAACTTTAATTAACTGAAAAAATTATTGAATTGAGACATATCCGCCCGGCAGGTATAATGTTAGAACCCCCGAAGGGAGAAATAAAAAGAAAATCATCTCAGCGCCTGATTTCTGAAATGTCAATGAAATATCAAATTCCACCCCAAAAGAATCCGAAAAAAAATCTTTGTAAAAAAATCTTTGGCGGGAAACATGAAAAATCCCCTGGCAACTCTCCGCAACGGTGAAAAATTAAATTTTAAATTTCCCCGTGTTGCAAAAAATGGCCGAAAAATTCCCATATGATGTATTCATGAGTCCATACGTGACGCGGGGCACAGGTTTGTCAGACCGCAGATGGCGAAGCGATAGTGGCGTGTGCGCGCGCTCTTGAACCGAATGAAAAACATGAAATAGTTTCAGGCCGCTTCAGGCGAGACCGGACCTGTTCCCTATCACCTTTCTTTCGTCACCAACTTTTCCCCTCCTCTCATTCCTACCGCATCAAAATAATTCCATATCCCCGTGAATTTTTTTTTATCACCGAATATGTAATACATATCCCCCCCGATGGTACCCCGATCGTACCCCTTTTATCACAAACATTGTTTCGCACACAAGCGGTTTGATTTCTTCAGTATATCGACGGGCCGGTTTTCAACGGCTGCATTTTATTACGTGGAGACGATCGAATGCGATTACCAACGCGGCAAATAAAAGACTTAAATCCACCACAAGTTGAGAGGAGTAGAGGGGGGGGGAAATGGTTCGAATCAAGTGCGTGGTTGAGATGGAATTAAAAGGGTTGCAGTTGACGTTGGTTTATGACTCTTGAGCTGGGATCAACCTCTCCTGTAACCGGCAAATGCCACTGTCTCAATGCGCATTTTGTTGACATGCTTTTGATCTTACGTACGGTTAAATGCGAATTATCCCGACTTGATGTGAACAAATTTCATTATTTTTCACTTTTAATGTGTATCTTGTTATGTTTACTCAGATTTGATATTTAGTTTCGATGTCGACGCGGTTATTCTTGGGAATTCAGAATTGTTCGTCGACTCGATTTGAAATTGGCGCCAATGAATTGGCGGGAAAGATTGAGAAGATTGCGGGGATTTATGGGTCTAGGCGTATAAATTATATTATTTGATTGAGTCGTTAATTCATTGAATTGCAATTTGGTGGTTGAAATATTTTGAATGGATAGGGTTTTTTTTTTTCACAAGTTGGAAAATAGATTGGGGGGCAGTACGGGTTGTCAAATGGTTTTTCAAGGTTGAATTTTCTTTGGCCGTGGCTTTTTGAGGATCTCATATATCGTTGGAGTCTCCATTCTACTCGCGGTGTGGTATCTCTCGGAGGATCTTTGACCATCGGGAGACAGATCTCGATTGGCTAATGAGAATTCATGCTCTCTCTCCCCCCTTGAATCCCGGCTTGATGCTGCCTGTAGGAATATGTGGGGTATAAACATGTCGTAATGCAAGAGGGTGAAGCCAGAATGGATTGAGCATTTGTATCGATTTTGCATTTAATTTGGAGTTGGGAAAAATTGATGAGGGATTGGGGTCGGTTTGTTCAGTTGCCCTGGAACGTTTTAAATAGAATCCGCGGAGAATATTGTATCATTGGGATTTTTTAATTTATCAAAAGTGAAATACGCCACTGAAATTGATTGATTCAGTCATCATTAATTGACAATCGTCGATATTGTCAAATATCACTGGCAAATTCTGTCTATAAACATTTTTTCAAGTCACACTTATCACCCTAATTCAATGCACTCGGGCTTAATTAGCTCGTTGGGACAATTTTCTATCAACTTCCCGGAGGATTCATTTGGATAAATTCACTAATGAAAAATTATCACTGCTAGTTTCTGTGGAAATACTGTGAAAATGAAACACGAAAAAATAATGGGACAGCAGTTCAGTAACTCAATAGATAATGTTTCAACCAACTATATGAGCTCAATTGCATTGAAATCCATAAATCCAGGTATCATCCATACCTGCCACTTAAAAAATGTTTACAGACCGAATTATCAGGAGTATTTTGACATCTCAACGAATGACAGAATGAATATCCCTGAAATCGATGAATTCCAGTCTCACCGCACTCTGTCACTCTCAATCAATTTAATTGCAAAAACAATCAAACCATAAACATTCTGTTGTTTCTCCCATGAATGCCATTAACATTGCAAAATATCTCAGGCGAGATGTGTTAATAATAACTGGAGGGCTCTGAATTCATCCAATTTGAATGTCTCACCAACAATTCATCCGCGCATCGTCTAAATAACAACAATTTCACTCGCAAAACAAAGAGAACAAACAAAAGCCATGAACAGAGAAAGAGAGAGGTACAATTCCTCCAAGTGGGAGGGATTCATTCCAAGGTTTCAACATTGGCCGTTTGAAACCAATACCTTAGAGCCAAAAGATAGAAAGAGAGGGTAAATACGGGAGGGGGCGAGTGGGGGAGAGATGGGTTGAGTATGGGGGTCGACCGATCGTGGATCTCGGTCGCATAAATTTGTTTTAATTGCCAGCGACGTTACATTTTGCTTTAATTATGCCGCATTATCTGGGAGGTAAATTAGGTAGGTAGGTCCAGCTCTTCGTCTCCATGCCCCACCTCCCCCTCCCACCCCCTCCTCTCATTCACTCAACTCTTCCATTCCCCCCTTATCCTTCACCTCTACCTTCATTTTATATATCCATTTTTTTTTTCTTTCACTCAGTCTCGCTCTTTTTTTCCACTCGTTTTGCCTCAAGTTTTCGTGTTTTATTGCTCTTTGTTACGGATAGGGGGAAATAAATCAATAAATAAAGGAATAAGATCTCTCCTTGGGGGGGAGAAGGGGTTGGGCAGGGAGAAGGTATATAACAGGTATATGAGGATTTTTTTCTCTCTCCACTTATATGTTCCTGCGCTTTTGAGAGAGAATCGAAGGAAGAGCGTGTGACAATTTACTTGGGCAATCTCCAAAAACTCGGCGAGTTTGTGGTTTTAGGGATTTTTTTTTCCTCTCGTCTCTCTTTCTCTCTCCCTGGCGTTTTTTTTTCAGTTTGTTTTCTTTTCGCCTTGTTTCAAGCGGGAGATGGATGAGGAGGGGCATCTTTTCGCGTTTCACCCTTTGGTTGTTTCTCTGGAGGAGAGGGGCGGGTGGGGGATTTTTTTTTGGGGTCTTATACCACCTTATGGCCGCGTTATTTATGCCGGGTCGGGCTAATAAACATATGAACGCCCGTTTCTTCCCACACAGAGTGTCGTTCCCCGTCGACGCGTGTAGAGGGGGGAGGGATTTTTGGCCAGGACATCCGTTTTTTTTTTTTTTTAAGGAGGGATAATGGGGAATTTTTCGCCATTGCGATGTGTCGAGAGTTTGAAAATTCGCGCGCAGGGATGCCGGTCGTGTCCACCTCCAC